AGAGCCAAACATTTTTCCAAAGTTAACCAATTTAGAAATTTCTTCCTTAACAACATGAATTTTATGGTCAAAGTTTTGCAAAAGGAGAGAAGACTCAGCAAACTGCTCCTCTGAGCTGTTCACAGAGCGTTCTGCCCTCTCTCTGCTAGAGCAGGCCTTTTATTTGGGAAAACAAAAGTGAGAAAAGATAAACGACAAAAACAGATGGCAAGCTCTATCTAACACACAGGTCACCAAGCTCTTTCCCTTGAGAGCGTTGTAGAAATTTTATGAAGGAATGAGAATCTGTTTCAATAAGAGAGATTAATCTTTGTCTTTAAGTTTCTTTATTCGAAGGCAAAAGCGTTCACTGAGCGCAGTCAGGAGAAGAGCCCTGAACAACACACATCACATAGTTATATAGTCACAAAGACAAAGACCCTCCCAAAGTCTGATGTTATCTCTACTGCCAGATGGCCACAGAAACACCCTGACCCCCTCCTCATGATCTATATCTCACCTCTTGGAGGAGATGATTTTATGGCAGGATGGAGAGCTGATAAGGATTTCAGGAGGAACTTCTAACACTTCTTTGTCAGTTCATGGGGTCAAACAGGGTACAAACTACATTCCACACATCAGATCCTTCAAGACAATTATCAGATCAAGCATTTTACCCAAGATGTCTATCACAAGAGCGATTTCTTCCAAGGGTAAAGGGAACAGTCAGTTCTCAGGAACACAGATATTCAACACAGCAATCGAAAGTTTTAGCACAGCACGTCATTACTGATTAACATTAGACTGAATAATGACCTAAAGTAATAATAAAAATTATAACACAAAAAATCTAAGAGTTCCAACTGTTCTAATGGAGAAAAAGAAAAACTATTTTCGTGCTTTGAAGGTAGTTTATCACAAGGGAGTTAATTTACAAAAAACTCACCGAATAAAGAAAAGTGGATCAACAATCAACAGCTAAAACCAGGAGGTGCAGAAACTAACGATGCCAGAGTTTGCTGCCCCCACTTTCTAATAGGTAATGATCACATCGTTTAAATTGTATTTTCAGATCTTTTACTTAGAAAGACAAGCATTTATATACAGGCACATGCAGAGGGAGTCTGGCTGGGGCTTGAGCCCCTGCCCCTTTTACCCTTGATGGCCCTATTGTCCTTGTTGAGGTTTTTATTTTTACTTTAGTGTTTTTGTCAGGAGGCTTTCTTGTGCCTCTCAAAATAATATTTGTATGCTATTCTGACAGCGTATGGTAATCTGATAGAACACCGCATGAGAGTGAAAGGTGGGGTGCAGAGGGGGGGCCAACAGGAACACATTATTTCTTAGATTTTAATTGGTGCGTTTTGCATCCACTGAAAACAAAGATGTTGACAAATAAACTGGACAGTTTATTTGTGATATTTTCACAGTTGCGGTCTTGACTGGACTTGAAATAACATGCCGAGTCCTCACCGCCCGAGACCATAAAAAAAAGGTCTCCAGACCAAGACTGATCTCGAGTACTACAACACTGATTTTCCCACATATTTGTTTCACGGCAGTCATTGTTAAAATTCTGCTGTGAAAATGTGTTTCTACATGCTCTACATAACCAAAGATATTTTCTCACCCATCCAAATTTTCAGAATCGGGTGATCCAATCCCTTTCATGGGACATTTGTATAAAATGAAGCACAGACCAGAACCAGGTTAGTGTGACACATATTGTGAAATAGATGTTAAAGATGTTTAAGGTTTGCAGCAGGAAACCAGGTTCATTACAGTATATTGATGTTTCATACAGCTGCAAAGTGACTTTTGTTTCCTAGCAGTGAGGAGCTTCAGTTAAACACTTTTTGTTCCTTTGGGAGGCGTCAGAGTGTTTTCCTCTGTTATTTTTATTTCGAACATATTTTCTTTGTATGTTTTTAAATGACTGATTAATAATATCTCTTTGCTCAGGTACATGTATGATGATACAAGCAAATTACTTTAATTGTCTTTGTGGCTTTAATTAAAGTTATCTGTCTTCTTACATCTCGGCTCTTCAGTGACGTTTCATGATTTCACTTCTTTCTATGGAAACATGAATCTTTTTTCACAAGTCAGTTATTCTCAATCTTTTCAAGTCAAAACATTTCACTGTGTTTCTCTAAAATGTATTCATTTGCAGTTTAACTTTAAAACTGAATCACAACCTTCAAAACTACAACCTTGAAATGTTTGTAAAACTTTAGACTGTTTTACAAACTAAAACGATCATACTCAAAAAATGTCATATGTACCAGTATGATCCTTTTATAAGATTAAATACCTTTTGATAACTGACTCCTAGCTCGCATTTCTTAAACAATTTTTTTCCATTAGTCAAGTGAAGTAATATTCTAAAAATAAATGCTGTTCTTCAATTAGCTGAAGAAAATCCTCATAATTAACAGAAATAAAAGGGTTGGAAACATCCGTGTGTTTGTGTAATTACTTTAATACTGTGTTTCACTCACTGAAATATATTAACCTTTTATTAATGTAAAATATTTAATATAATTTAATGCTGAGAGGAGGCTCAAGGCGGAACTAAAAATCGTTTAGTATCTTCAGTACAGCCAAAGTGAAACACACGGAAAACTACGGAGTACATGAGGTAGCGTTAGCTCCTCTTGTAAGGCAGTTTGGAAACAGGTTTGGTGTTTTCGGTAAATATTTCCGTGTTTTCAATAAAACTGTCTTCAGTTCAGCCTCAGAGAGAGTTTATCAACGAGCAGGAAACTCCTGGTGAAGAAACATTTACAGAACTGAAAGAAATCAACGTTAAGATCGAGGAAAAGATGGAGGATCAGCGCAGACTGCTGGATTTTACCAGGATACCGAAGATCTTCTTACACCGGATAGGTACGAAACACCTTCAGGTTTTACTGATTAGTCGGGTTAAAGAGAGTTTTTAGACATAAATAATCGTTGTGTATGGAAAGCTATTTAAAGAAGACGCTCAAATTGTAAACATTAAACAGAATGATTTATGTTAAAGACTAGTCATCATGTAATAACTAATTTACAGTTTGTGTTCCGTAATGGTCTTGTCTTTACTCAAAGTACTGTTTAAAGTTGGATTTACAGGTATTAGTTTTAATTATGTTTGTGTGTAATCTATTTGTTTATGTCAGATTGTAATTTATATTTTGTATTAATTCTTTAAATATAAAATTAAATATATTGTTCATTAAATAAAGTTTCAGTTTATAAAATTCTGGATTTTTACCGAAGAATCCTTTTTGCCTTTAAATTAATGACTGGTTATGTAAAATGGTTTATGAAACCTTAGAGAAGACTCTTAAGGTAATATAACAGGATTAAATCAAGCTGCTGTTTGATCTGTTTTTGTCCTGGAGCCACGAGGTTTAATTATCGCCATATTGCTTTCTCTGCTGGAGATCCATATCTATGAGAAGTAAAGTATATTATTGAAAATGTATGTTAAAATATACACTAGTATTTTGAGCATAATGTGCTTTTTAATGTTGATTTGAATAAATATTGTTGGATTATTCAATGATTGTCATCATTAACTGTTACCATACTTTTAAATGTCAGCTTTAAGTAAAGCATCTAAGGATCCTTGGAATAACAGTAAAACATGAGTTATTTTACATAAATTGAGATTTTTCCTTTCTTTAATATCAGAATTAGACATATTCAAAAGGTCGCATTAATTACATTTTCGAAATTTAAACATATTTTTTAATTAGTGTGAGTCATTATTCTAATCTCAAATGTAATGTTTTCATTAATTATTAATTCTGCATTGACAGAGAAAATACATCTTTATGGACGTTTCATGCATCTTTCATTTACTGTATCCAGAGATAACACTGCAGACGATCTACAACACTGTAATGTGATACAAAAACAAACCAGAAATTTATTTTAAATTCTAAGGATATTTAAAATAAAGTCAAAAGTCCATAATTTAGTTGAGTCGCCCAAAGCCTTCTGTTGTTAAGAGCTTTGGATTTCTGACCCTTTTCAGTTTTGTTGACCTCAGTCAAATTAGTTTCCCTCTTTCTGATCTTGATGTATCTGCAGGTTCCTATGAACACAAAAAGCTCTTATGAAAATATGACAAACCTTTTCAAGCAGTTGTCATGTTTTTTTCTTTCAATATTTGTAATGAAAATGTCTTTGCAGGAAAGTCTTCTGTAATGTGGACCACAATTACTCTCCTCTTCTCACTACTCATCTCTTCGGTGACCTTTTATGTTGTCACTTCATTGTAAGGCAGGATGGACCTTTTATCACAATACAATCAGTTATTACCAAGTCAAAACAACACATAACTGTTCCTCTGAAATATAAAATAATTCACTGTTTAACTTTACAGCTGAATCTCATTCTAAACAACTACAACCTGATATAAAACATTAGATTGTTTTACAAATTAAAACGATATCCAAAAAATTACAATATACGTTTCAGCATGGTTCTTTTGTAAAATTCTATGTACCTTTGATAACTGACTTTTTAGTCTGATAAAATATTCTCATCAAAAATTCCGCGTTTCTTCATAATTATTAGGCATAAAAGGTATGAAAACATCCATCTGTGTGTAATTATATATATTGTTTGTGTTTGTTCAGAGGAAATTCAAGGCGGAACTAAACATCCTTTACAGTTTCTTCAGTACAGCCAAAGTGAAACACACGGAAACCTACGGAGCACATGAGGTAGCGTTAGCTCGTCTTGGAAGGTAGTTTGGAAACAGGTTTGGTGTTTTAGTTAAATATTTCCGTGTTTTCAGTAAAACTGTCTTCAGTTCAGCCTCAGAGAGAGTTTATCAACGAGCAGGAAACTCCTGGTGAAGAAACATTTACAAAGATGAAAGAAATCAACGTCAAGATCGAGGAAAAGATGGAGGATCAGCGCAGACTGCTGGATTTTACCAGGATACCGAAGATCATCTTACACCGGATAGGTACGAAACACCTTCAGGTTTTACTGATTAGTCGGGTTAAAGAGAGATGAAGAGAACACAACGATATAAATAATGGTTTTGTTCGGAAAGCTATTTAAATAATCCGCTCAAATTGCAAATATTAAACAGAATGATTTATGTTAAAGACTAGTCATCATGTAATAACTAATTTACAGTTTGTGTTCCGTAACGGTCTTGTCTTTACTCAAAGTACTGTTTAAAGTTGGATTTACAGGTATTAGTTTTAATTATGTTTGTGTGTAATCTATTTGTTTTTGTTTAGCTTTTGTTCATGTCAAATTATAATTTCTACTTTATTCATTTTTTAAATATAAAACTAAGTATAATGTTCATTAAATTAAGTTTGAGTTTAGAGAAATTTTGGATTTTTACCGTAGAATAATTTTAGCTTTTCAATCAATAATTGATTATAAAATAGTTTATGAAACCTTCAGGTCTTAAAACCAAATATTTTTATTTTGACATTGCCTCAAATGAGGCCTGTCTTCAAACCTATGTTGTATAGATGACTCAACCCTGAACATAAATATTTTACACTAACAGATTATAGAAATATTGTTTTGAAGTTAGAAAACATAGATGTTTTTATTATTTATTCAAGTTGAAAAGCTTTATGTTCCTTTTTAATAAGAAACCCAGGGATTTTCCCAGTGTATTTTTGGAAACCTGCTCTGTTAAGCTGAACTTAACAGAGTCTTTCTCAATGCAAAGCGCCGACAGGTTTGCAATTGCAACATACGCCAAAGCATCGTTGAGGCGCATGAACCATTCGAGGTTCTTACAACTTTAACTGTTGTTGCTGCAGTAATAAAGAACAGATGTTTATGCAAATGAGGATCGGAAAGAAGACATGAAACCAAAACCAGCAACAGGGTTTAAAATACTTATTTTCTTTTTAATGTTCATTAGAAAACAAGTTGTTCTATGCATTAAATGTTTTCAGCATATGATTATGTGTAAGACTAATAATATACTAACGGCATATAACAGGATTAAATCAAGCTGCTGTTTGATCTGTTTTTGTCCTGGAGCCACGAGGTTTAATTATCGCCATCTTGCTTTCTCTGCTGGAGATCCATAGTATGTTTTGACTGATTTCTAGATCCCTTCCAGTCAGACAGACTAAAGTGGTTAAGTTAATTTTTATACTTATGGATTTATAATTTTAGTCTTTGGATCACTTGAAAAGGCTTAAAGTGATTAAAGTGAAGGAATCATTCTCTTACTCACATTTAAAAGCTTTTGTTTTGTCTCTTTGTCCAGATCTCCCACAGTGCTGGGTGTGTAAAGAGGAGGAGGTTCTGAATGAATTCAGCTACCAGGACAGGAAGTCCAGTTCATATAAAGAAGAACCAGAACATCAAGAGTTCAAAGAGGAAGAGAAGCCACTCAGCATCAGTCAGGATGAAGAGCAGATTGTGGTGAAACAGGAGACTGATGACATTTTGGTGAATCCTCCTAATGTGCAAAGAATCCACAATGAAACAGAACCACAGAGGAACCAACTCATCTCTCCCGGTTCTGCTGAGGATGAGAACCAGGATCAGGAAGGAAGCAAATCTGAAGACCCAGGAAAAAAGAGAGGTGAAGAACAGAAACACAACAAAAGATGCCAGAAAGGTAAAACTGATTGTTCACACCAAAAAATGCACTTCAAAGCTCACAGAGTCCAAAAATTATATTCTTGTAAATTTGTGATAAAACCTTCTCTCAAAGCAGTTGCTTGACCAGACACATAAAAACTCACATGGGTAAGAAGCCGTTCACATTTTCAACCTGTGGGAAAAGTTTCAGTCAAAAGAATAGTTTAATTTATCACATGAAGATCCACACAGGGCTTTCTCTAGTGAAACTTTGCTTCTATTAAATCAGCAACATAACATCATGACATAGCAGATAGATGGTCATAAAATTTATCAACAGCTGTACGACATCCTGACTTGGTAACCAGTCAGACCATCATCAAGGAACAGGAGGCGTGTTTCATAGTGGACTCCATCCAGTTATCACTAATAACAATTTATTGACTTAATTTAGCTGCTGCAACATGACACAAGCTGCAGCGATCTGCTACTGGCACCTGGGTCCCATTTCCCAATAGCACAGGTTGCCAGACCAGCCAGTGTCCTTCCACAACCTGGTACGGGTTGCCACAACCAGCTTAATAACGGCGTTGTAGGAGCCAGTACATCTTTGGAACTTAATACAAAATGTTATGTTGTGTTTACATGAGTTTAATTTTTAACTCTGCTATTTTAAAAGATAAGCATGTGTAATTGTATTATGCTTAAGCTTATTATGTGGTTTCTTTTGATTGGTTATTGACTAATTAGTTTATGAAATATGAAAGTAGTTGCTTATTGTAGAAGTCTGGCACCGTGAGAGTAACAGTCTTTTGACCGTCACTTTCTACTTGTTTTGAATCTGTTTATTATTTTTATTTCTTGTTATTAAGTCCAGTAAAGACTTAAAAAGATGACAGGTGTATTCAAAACCTCTTTTTATAGAAGAAATGTGTCACATATGAAAGATTTAAGGGGATAGACTAGTGAGAGCTTGCCGCAACTTCAAGCTTCAAGGGTATACCACGGCTTTTATGTCACAGAAAATTTATGTTTTTTAAACAAAGCAAAAAACAAAAAAGCAAATACTGAGGATGTGGAGGCCTTTAAGTGCCATATTTTGACTCGCATCTCGTTCCAGTCTGATCAGAAGAACCTCATTGGTTTAGTTAATGTTCATTCTTGTAAGATTGTAATTTTAGAATAACCCAAGAAAATCCTGTTTTGATACATTAGCAGGTTAAAGTGAAGGATTCTTTGTCTGATTGACCTTTAAAAGCTTTTGTTTTGTCTTTATGTCCAGATCTCCCACAGTGCTATGTGTATAAAGAGGAGGAGGTTCTCAATGAAACAGAACCACAGAGGAACCAACTCATCTCTCATGGCTCTCCAGAAGCTGAGAACCAGGATCAGGAAGGAAGCAATTCTGAAGACCCAGGAAAAAAGAGAAAGAAAGAACAGAAACAAAAGGAGAAATATGAGAAAACCAAACAGCAGAAAGGCAGAACTGATACTGAAAAACAAAAGCACAAGAAAGCTCAACCAGGGCAAAAGTTATATTCTTGTAAAATTTGTGATAAAACTTTTTTTAAAGAGAGATACTTGACGAGACACATGATGACTCACACAGGAGTAAAACCTTTCACATGTTCAACCTGTGAAAAAAGTTACAGTGAAAGAGGAACTTTAACTCGGCACATGCGAATTCACACAGGTGAGAAGCCTTTCTCCTGTGGGACCTGTGGAAAGAGTTACAGTGAAAGAGGAACTTTAACTCGGCACATGCGAATTCACACAGGTGAGAAGCCTTTCTCCTGTGGGACCTGTGGAAAGAGTTTCTCTCGAAAAAGTCATTTAAATGTTCACATGAGAATTCACACAGGTGAGAAGCCTTTCTCCTGTGGGACCTGTGGAAAGAGTTTCTCTCAAAAAAGTCATTTAAATGTTCACATGAGAATTCACACAAGTGAGAAGCCTTTCTGTTGTGGGACCTGTGGAAAAAGTTTCTCTCGAAAAGACACTTTAAATGCTCATATGAAAATTCACACAGGTGAGAAGCCTTTCTCCTGTGGGACCTGTGGAAAGAGTTTCTCTCAAAAAAGTCATTTAAATGTTCACATGAGAATTCACACAAGTGAGAAGCCTTTCTCTTGTGGGACCTGTGGGAAGAGTTTCTCTCAAAAAAGTCATTTAAATGTTCACATGAGAATTCACACAAGTGAGAAGCCTTTCTCTTGTGG